ATATAACTGCTACAGGTCACCCACCCCCAGTCATATAACTGCTACAGGTCACCCACCCACCTGGTCATATAACTGCTACAGGTCACCCACCCCCCAGTCATATAACAGCTACAGGTCACCCACCCCTCCCCTGGTCATATAACTGCTACAGGTCACCCCCCTGGTCATATAACTGCTACTGGTCACCCCCTGGTCATATAACTGCTACAGGTCACCCCCTGGTCATATAACTGCTACAGGTCAACCCCCCCCCCCCTGGTCATATAACTGCTACAGGTCACCCACCCCCCCTGGTCATATAACTGCTACACGTTACCTCCCCCCCCTGGTCATATAACTGCTACAGGTCACCCACCCCCCGGTCATATAACTGCTACAGGCCACCCACCCCCTGGTCATATAACAGCTACAGGTCACCCACCCCCCTGGGCATATAACTGCTACAGGTCACCCACCCCCCTGGTCATATAACTGCTACAGGTCACCCCCTGGTCATATAACTGCTACAGGTCACCCACCCCCCTGGTCATATAACTGCTACAGGTCACCCACCCCCCTGGTCATATAACTGCTACAGGTCACCCCCTGGTCATATAACTGCTACAGGTCACCCACCCCCCTGGTCATATAACTGCTACAGGTCACCCACCCCCTGGTCATATAACAGCTACAGGTCACCCACCCCCCTGGTCATATAACTGCTACAGGTCACCCACCCCCCTGGTCATATAACTGCTACAGGTCACCCCCTGGTCATATAACTGCTACAGGTCACCCACCCCCCTGGTCATATAACTGCTACAGGTCACCCACCCCCCTGGTCATATAACTGCTACAGGTCACCCCCTGGTCATATAACTGCTACAGGTCACCCACCCCCCTGGTCATATAACTGCTACAGGTCACCCACCCCCCTGGTCATATAACTGCTACAGGTCACCCACCCCCCGGTCATATAACTGCTACAGGTTACCCCCCCCCGGTCATATAACTGCTACAGGTCACCCACCCCCCTGGTCATATAACTGCTACAGGTCACCCACCCCCCCTGGTCATATAACTGCTACAGGTCACCCCCTGGTCATATAACTGCTACAGGTCACCCACCCCCTGGTCATATAACTGCTACAGGTCACCCCCTGGTCATATAACTGCTACAGGCCACCCACCCCCTGGTCATATAACTGCTACAGGTCACCCACCCCCTGGTCATATAACTGCTACAGGTCACCCACCTGGTCATATAACAGCTACAGGTCACCCACCCCCTGGTCATATAACTGCTACAGGTCACCCACCCCCTGGTTATATAACTGCTACAGGTCACCCACCCCCTCCCCCTGGTCATATAACTGCTACAGGTCACCCACCCCCTGGTCATATAACTGCTACAGGTCACCCACCCCCTGGTCATATAACAGCTACAGGTCACCCCCTGGTCATATAACTGCTACAGGTTACCCCCCCTGGTCATATAACTGCTACAGGTCACCCCCCTGGTCATATAACAGCTACAGGTCACCCCCTTGTCATATAACTGCTACAGGTCACCCCCCTGGTCATATAACTGCTACAGGTCACCCACCCCCCTGGTCATATAACTGCTACAGGTCACCCACCCCCCTGGTCATATAACTGCTACAGGTCACCCACCCCCTGGTCATATAACTGCTACAGGTCACCCACCCCCCTGGTCATATAACTGCTACAGGTCACCCCCTGGTCATATAACAGCTACAGGTCACCCACCCCCTTGTCATATAACAGCTACAGGTCACCCACCCCCCTGGTCATATAACTGCTACAGGTCACCCCCCTGGTCATATAACTGCTACAGGTCACCCCCTGGTCATATAACTGCTACAGGTCACCCACCCCCCTGGTCATATAACTGCTACAGGTCACCCCCCTGGTCATATAACTGCTACAGGTCACCCCCTGGTCATATAACTGCTACAGGTCACCCACCCCCTGGTCATATAACTGCTACAGGCCACCCACCCCCTGGTCATATAACTGCTACAGGTCAACCCCCCCCCCCTGGTCATATAACTGCTACAGGTCACCCACCCCCTGGTCATATAACTGCTACAGGTTACCCCCCCCCCCAGGTCATATAACTGCTACAGGTCACCCACCACCCTGGTCATATAACTGCTACAGGTCACCCACCCCCCAGGTCATATAACTGCTACAGGTCACCCACCCCCCTGGTCATATAACTGCTACAGGTCACCCCCTGATCATATAACAGCTACAGGTCACCCACCCCCCTGGTCATATAACTGCTACAGGTCACCCCCTGGTCATATAACTGCTACAGGTCACCCACCCACCTGGTCATATAACAGCTACAGGTCACCCACCCCCCCTGGTCATATAACTGCTACAGGTCACCCACCCCCCTGGTCATATAACTGCTACAGGTCACCCACCCCCCTGGTCATATAACTGCTACAGGTCACCCCCTGGTCATATAACAGCTACAAGTCACCCACCCCCCTGGACATATAACTGCTACAGGTCACCCCCTGGTCATATAACTGCTACAGGTCACCCACCCACCTGGTCATATAACAGCTACAGGTCACCCACCCCCCCTGGTCATATAACTGCTACAGGTCACCCACCCACCTGGTCATATAATTGCTACAGGTCACCCACCCCCCCTGGTCATATAACTGCTACAGGCCACCCACCCCCCCCGGTCATATAACTGCTACAGGTCACCCAACCCCTGGTCATATAACTGCTACAGGTCACAAACCCCCTGGTCATATAACTGCTACAGGTCACCCAGCCCCCCCCCCCCTGGTCATATAACTGCTACAGGTCACCCCCCCTGGTCATATAACTGCTACAGGTCACCCACCCCCCGGTCATATAACTGCTACAGGTCACCCCCCTGGTCATATAACTGCTACAGGTCACCCACCCCCTGGTCATATAACTGCTACAGGCCACCCACCCCCCTGGTCATATAACTGCTACAGGTCACCCACCCCCCCTGGTCATATAACTGCTACAGGTCACCCACCCCCCTGGTCATATAACTGCTACAGGTCACCCCCTGGTCATATAACTGCTACAGGTCACCCACCCCCTGGTCATATAACTGCTACAGGTCGCCCACCCCCTGGTCATATAACTGCTACAGGTCACCCCTTGGTCATATAACTGCTACAGGTCACCCCCTGGTCATATAACTGCTACAGGTCACCCCCTGGTCATATAACTGCTACAGGTCACCCCCCCCCCTGGTCATATAACTGCTACAGGTCACCACCCCCCTGGTCATATAACTGCTACAGGTCACCCCCTGGTCATATAACTGCTACAGGTCACCCCCCCCCCCCCCCTGGTCATATAACTGCTACAGGTCACCCCCCCCGGTCATATAACTGCTACAGGTCACCCACCCCCCAGGTCATATAACTGCTACAGGTCACCCCCCCCCCTGGTCATATAACTGCTACAGGTCACCCCCTGGTCATATAAGTGCTACAGGTCACCCACCCCCTGGTCATATAACTGCTACAGGTCACCCACCCCTGGTCATATAACTGCTACAGGTCACCCACCCCCTGGTCATATAACAGCTACAGGTCACCCCCTGGTCATATAACTGCTACAGGTCACCCACCCCCTGGTCATATAACTGCTACAGGTCACCCCCTGGTCATATAACAGCTACAGGTCACCAACCCCCCTGGTCATATAACTGCAACAGGTCACCCACCCCCTGGTCATTTAACAGCTACAGGTCACCCACCCCCTGGTCATATAACAGCTACAGGTCACCCACCCCCCCTGGTCATATAACAGCTACAGGTCACCCCCCCCCCCCAACCCCCGGCCATATACTGCTACAGATCCCAATATTGCGAACAATAAATTAGAAAATATTTAAACTATGTAGCGCCAATTTAGAAAAAAAAAATTTAATAGTCGGCCCGGCAATAAAAGGGAGGCAACTAACACGCCTTAATATACAGCTTTAAAAATTGTAAGGCCTAACAAAACTTGTTTGTTAAGGGAGGTAACATTAGGTGGTAAATTGTTTATGAATAAGTAAGAAAAGATAACTCTTTACAGTTTACACCCAAAATCACTGACACAAATAACATCCCTTGCTAAACACGAAAGATATTGACCTCCGATAAGAGCACCATAAATATAAGAGGATTCTTAAGTTAGGGATATTGTGTTGTTGGTAGATCGGGACCGGTTGTAAGCTACTTACCGCCACATAACCTTATACGCTGACTAGGTTAGTACACTTACCGTACAAGCCTAAAATGGGAACATAAAACACGCATAATTATGTATCATATACTAAACTATTTACACATAAAGCAGAAAATCAACAAAAACCCAGAACAAAGATCGCTGATTAAAAATTAAAACAATATTTACTACGGATATTTTTAAAAGGTTCAAACTATTGTAATATGATTTCAAGCCAGTATTTTTAAATGTCCCATGGAGTGCACAGTGAACTATTTGTTCCATCAAGTCAAAACCTGTCCAACTTTTAAAATTGTTGGTGAACAGATGACAACATTTGCTGATCAGCAACCGACCTCGTCCACACACGTTTTTGCTTGTTGTGTAACTCAGGCAGCTGATATATGACTCGTGTACTCAAGCATTCTACTTGTATTGTAAATCATAACTTACCCAGCCAAAAGTCCCTGGGGTCAGGGGACATAACTTACCCAGCTAAAACTCACAGGGGACATAACTTACCCAGCTAAAACTCACAGGGGTCATAACTTACCAAGCCAATAGATCCCAGGGGACATAACTTACCCAGCTAAAACTCACAGGGGACATAACTTACCCAGCTAAAACTCACAGGGGTCATAACTTACCAAGCCAATAGATCCCAGGGGACATAACTTACCCAGCTAAAACTCACAGGGGACATAACTTACCCAGCTAAAACTCACAGGGGTCATAACTTACCAAGCCAATAGATCCCAGGGGACATAACTTACCCAGCCAAAACTCGGTGCTAATGTTGCTGGTAACAAACGCCCCGATCTCCTCGTTTTCCCAGTAGTCAAATGGGGCAGCAAGATGGCCGCCATAGCTGAAACAGATGTAAACTTTGATTGTTTCTGGTACAACACTGTGCCGTGTGGTACAACACTGTGCCGTGGTACAACACTGTACCGTGTCTGGTACAACATTGTGCCGTGTTGTACAACACTGTACCGTGTGGTACAACACTGTACTACGACTGTGACAGCTCACCTTTTACAGAAGCTGTCAGCAGAAGTCCACGATGACGCGTCTATAAATAGCTTGTAACACTTTTGACCAATCTTGGTCCATCCTGTTGGAAAATGACATGAAATAAATGTCAAGTTGACATGGAATAAAAGTCAAGGTGACATCGAAAAAAAAAGAAAGTATCATGACGTCATAAGACGATGATGAGACAGAAGAAACGAAAAATGTTGAAACGTCACCAGTGACATGTATTCTAACACCAATGACGGTACTACAAAACTAGGTCACTCACCTGGCTGACAGTCCAGCTTGACCTCCCGCTGTCAAAACAGAATATAAATAGATAAAGTAGGTCAATAGTAATAAAGATAAATAGATAAAGTAGGTCAATAGTAATAAAGATAAATAGATAAAGTAGGTCAATAGATATAAAGATAAATAGATAAAGTAGGTCAATAGATATAAAGATAAATAGATAAATTAGGTCAATAGATATAAAGCTAAATAGATAAAGTAGGTCAATAGATATAAAGATAAATAGATAAAGTAGGTCAATAGATATAAAGATAAATAGATAAATTAGGTCAATAGATATAAAGATAATTAGATAAAGTAGGTCAATAGATATATAGATAAATAGATAAAGTAGGTCAATAGATATATAGATAAACAGATAAAGTAGGTCAATAGATATATATATATAAATAGATAAAATAGGTCAATAGATATAAAGATAAATAGATAAAGTAGGTCAATAGATATAAAGATAAATAGATAAAGTAGGTCAATAGATATAAAGATAAATAGATAAAGTAGGTCAATAGATATAAAGATAAATAGATAAAGTAGGTCAATAGATATAAAGATAAATAGATAAAGTAGGTCAATCGATATAAAGATAAATAGATAAAGTAGGTCAATAGATATAAAGATAAATAGATAAAGTAGGTCAATAGATATAAAGAGTTAGGTACAGAACTACAAATTTGATATAACACTTATATATGAAATTTCATCAACCTAGCTGTAACAGTACTTAAGTTATCGTGTTCACTGGCATTACACACACACACACACACACACACATATATATATATATATATATATATAGGGAGAGAGAGAGAGAAAGAGAGAGAGAGAGAGAGACAGAGAGACAGAGAGAGAGACATACAGACAAGGTTGCAAAATTAAGTTTCTCTCACTCGGGGAGGTTTAAAACGTCTAGATTTGTGAAAATCTTCAATTCGAATTTTGGCACGATTACAATACTTTTGGCACGATTACAATACTTTTGGCATGATTACAATACTTTTGGCACGATTACAATACTTTTGGCACGATTACAATACTTTTGGCATGATTACAATACTTTTGGCACGATTACAATACTTTTGGCACGATTACAATACTTTTGGCACGATTACAATACTTCCTGTATACTTCTTATACGAGAAAGTAACAAAAAAGTGTCTTGCGTTCAAGCGAAAAGATGAATAGACGATAATTTTCCTGTGTGCTTTGCTAAAAACATTGAATATTATTTGAACTATGAAGTTGTATGTGCGAGTCAATGTGTGGGGTGGATGTTTGGACTAGATGGTATGTGGGAGATAGGGGGATCTTTTATGTCTGTTTGTCTATGTGTGTATCTGTATGTGTGACTTTCTGCGTATGTCTATATGTTTGTGTTCTTGGCTATGCGATTGTATATGTCTGTGTGCCTGTCTGTCTATCTGTGCGTGTGCCTTTCTGTGTGTCTGTGTGTCTGTGTGTCTGTGTGTCTGTGTGTCTGTGTCTGTGTCTGTGTGTCTGTGTGTCTGTGTGTCTGTGTGTCTGTGTCTGTGTGTCTGTGTGTGTGTGTGTGTGTGTCACTTAGCAAACAACCGACGAGCTATCAACGTTTGTGGCAACACAGAAAAGGCGAATCTACCACGTGACTACCGATACACTGTGTGGAAATAACACCAGCCTTTGAAAGTGTCACATGGTAACCATGGTAACGATGCGACAGCCCCTGTAGGTAGGCAGGTAAAACACAGGTACATGTTCTGTCAACTTGTTCTTCTGTGTAAGGGCTCAAACCGGTTTTTAAATATTTTAATTTAAAAACAGCTTTACACTTATCTCAAGAAGTGATGAATGGGCGTGTTCATGTCAGAAGGGGGGGGGGGGGGTGGATCAACCTTTCTCTAAATATAGCAGACGTACAACAGGAATTTTACTTTATAGTACGCGGAATTTAGCGAAAGTTTTTTAGTTGTGAAAACAAATTTAAACTTTGATAAATCTCGACGCTTTCCGCCTTCCTTGATTCGGGAAAAACAAAGCCGACTTTAAAGAAAGTTAATTTCAAATCTAGATAGTGTGGATATTTTCCCTGATAGTTATCACTCAAGTTGTTTTGGTTGAATTATCTTTATTCTACAGTCACCCAAATTGTTCAAAATTATTTTTTTATTAATGCAAAAAACAAGAATAAAACAAACATTGGAAACAATTGCACATCTCAAACCTCCGTGTTTTGACCAGCCTGCCAGAAATGAAGTTTCTTTTCACAATTTTTGGCGATGGGGGGGGGGGGGGGGATTTTATTTTTACTAGATCCGCCACTGAGCAATATTCCTATATAGTATGACCGAACTGCAGTGGAGGTCTAAGAATTGTGTTTTGTACCACGTCAAACAGGCATGTCAATGTAATCCTACTCAAGTTTTGAAAACATCTTGTAAAAAATATGGCAAGCGATTTAATTAGTTACATTTGTAAAACTTAAAGACGTTTTGGAACCATCGATTTGTATATTTTTGTATTGGATATAAGCCGTTTAAATGCCGTTGAGAATTATTTTATCAATTTAAATATTTTCAAAAAGTGCCCTCAACTTCCTCCAGAAGTCAACCGGAATGGCAAGGGAGAGTAAAAATTATAAAAGTCAGAACATTTGTTTTCCATGAAAAAAAATACTAAATAGTGATCTATGGTGCATAGTGTAATAAAATATTGTATTTATATGAAATAATAAACATCCCCAATCACCACAAGACCACTACTCTAATAATCCAAATTAAAAATAAAAGTGTTTGATAAATTACTAGCAATAATTTCTTTGACTATTTCTAGCCTTAATGAATCCGGAAGTAAGTTTGTACTCTTATTACACAAATAAATATTCAATTTTGGTTGAAAAATGTGCTATCTGGTAACAAAAGTTTTTGGAACCAGCTTTTCAAGTCTTTGCATTTTGAGATTTCATTCATTTAGCTTTTTGTGTACGTTTTTTAAACAAATATTGGTTCCATTATGTTTTACATTTATTAAGTTATGATTATTTGACTAGCTTTTGTTGATATTAAGTCAACCACCCTAGTTAACCATCCCAGAAAAAACACCATTTAGGATGGGTGACACCTAGGCAAAAAATAACAAAATATTATACAGAAAAATGATAACTCCACTTAAGTAAATGATTAATTAGAGTGAGTTAAATAGTCTTTTAAGAGCAAAGTTGACAAATACTGACTAGGGTAGAGTGGGGGGGGGGGGGGAATGACAACACGACGTAAACCTGCTAACAATAGAGAAAACACGCTACATCTAGCTGTATTTATAAACTACTATAGATAACAATCGTTAGTATTATCTGAGCATAGTTTAAAGCAATCGCTGGGGGGGGGGGGGGGGTACATCAACTCAACGTTGCAAAATTTGCCTGAGGAAAACTTTGTTGGGAATCGTAATAACGTATGTGTTAATCCATGGGGTGGTAGAAAAAAGATTGCAATACACATACACATTCTTATACACATACAAGTGTATATGATATATATATATATATATATATATATATATATATATATATATATATATATATATATATATATATATATATATTTTTTTTTTTTTTTTTTTTTTTTTTTTTTTTTTTTTTCTTACGGGATGGGGGGAGGGGGGACGACACCATTAGGTGCCGCAATGGGTGACACCCGACCTCTCTACGCCACTGTATGTATCTGTATGTATACCTAGTATGACGTAGTGACAAATGTTTGCTAGTTTTGCGTCAGCTAGACTGGACATAGATTCGCACAACTTTTGCCATTGTTTAGAAGGTTGACAAGTTGTCTGCCCATTGCACGGTTTGTGTAAACTATGACTAGATCAATAACCAGCTCACAGATGTGCAATTTTATCACCTGCTACAAGTTCATTCCCCTGATAGTGTTGTTACTCTCTTGAGATATTTATAGTGAACCCTTGTTTGGTTTTCTTCAGCCGGTCACTGCTGTCAGGCCACAAGAACATAGTGGGTCATTTGCTGTATCGAATGACTCAATATTGGGTCATTTGCTGTATCGAACAACTCAATATTGGGTCATTTGCTGTATTGAACAACTCCATATTGGGTCATTTGCTGTATCGAACAACTCCATATTGGGTCATTTGCTGTATCGAACAACTCCATATTGGGTCATTTGCTGTATCGAACAACTCCATATTGGGTCATTTGCTGTATCGAACAACTCCATATTGGGTAATTTGCTGTATCGAACAACTCCATATTGGGTCATTTGCTGTATCGAACAACTCCATATTGGGTCATTTGCTGTATCGAACAACTCCATATTGGGTCATTTGCTGTATCGAACAACTCCATATTGGGTCATTTGCTGTATCGAACAACTCCATAGTGGGTCATTTGCTGTATCGAACAACTCCATATTGGGTCATTTGCTGTATCGAACAACTCCATATTGGGTATTTGCTGTATCGAACAACTCAACTTACGGGTAAGAATTGTAAAAATAATTTTATCATTAATAACGTGAGACACTGACCACACAATGCGGGCCCACACATACAGCCCCCCACACACAGGGCCCGCCCACACAGACATGGCCCAACCACACACACACAGACATGGCCCAACCACACACACACAGACATGGCCCACACACACACAGAGACAGGGCACACACACAGATAGGGCCCACACACATGGCCCGTCCACACAGATAGGGCCCACACACACACAGATAGGGCCCACACACATGGCCCGTCCACACAGACATGGCCCGCCTACACAGATAGGGCCCACACACAGGGCACGCCCACACAGACATGGCCCACACACACACACAGAGACAGAACACACACACAGATAGGGCCCACACACACACACACAGGGCCCACACATGTACTTACCACAGTGAGCGCCCATGTGGATGTGGCGAACATGAGAAACACGATCGCCTTGATTGCGAACATTTTTGGCGAATTTCAATTTGAATTCATCCCACTCCTAGTCCCGCTTGTTAATGAAGAAGTTTTTTAAGCCTTGAAAAACTGCTACAAATCTTCACTGGTTGTGGATTTGAGTTTATCACTTTAGGAAATGATGACTTAAGGAAACAATGACTGACTTTAGGAAATGATGATTGTCTACCGGCGGTACAACCTATTGAAAGACTGTGTAGTAACAAGGATATCTTAAACTGTACAGCATTAAATTGTCATCGCATTGCATACACTAATCGTTTATTTAAAAATAAAATCCTAATCCTAAACCAAAAGTAGATTTTAAAAGTATCTGACTCAAACCAAAACCAAAAACCTCTACACACCTGTTATTTCTGTATCATTACAACATGTAAATTATAACCTAATTTACATACATATCATAAATAGATGTAAATTGAAACCACACCTACACGTATATCTCAAACAGGTGTAAATTGAAATCACATCTACACGTATATCCCAAACAGGTGTAAATTGAAATCACACCTACATGTATATCCCAAACAGGTGTAAATTGAAATCACACCTACACGTATATCCCAAACAGGTGTAAATTGAAACCACACCTACACGTATATCCCAAACAGGTGTAAATTGAAATCACACCTACACGTATATCCCAAACAGGTGTAAATTGAAACCACACCTACACGTATATCCCAAACAGGTGTAAATTGAAACCACACCTACACGTATATCCCAAACAGGTGTAAATTGAAACCACACCTACACGTATATCCCAAACAGGTGTAAATTGAAACCACACCTACACGTATATCCAAACAGGTGTAAATTGAAACCACACCTACACGTATATCCCAAACAGGTGTAAATTGAAATCACACCTACACGTATATCCCAAACAGGTGTAAATTGAAACCACACCTACACGTATATCCCAAACAGGTGTAAATTGAAACCACACCTACACGTATATCCCAAACAGGTGTAAATTGAAACAGCCGACCTGTCACAAACCTCGCACATCAACAATGCTATGTCGGGAGACAAGAGAGAGTGATCGCTTCAGCAGAGCAACAAAAAACAACGGAGCGACAAACAAGTAATGTCTTCACTGGTGGACCTAAACACCTGAGGTAGAGCCCCCCCCCCCTCTCCCCCCCCCCCCCACAAAAAAAAGAGAAGACCCCTTTACCCGACTAAGTGGCGTTGTTGTTTCTAGCCCCCACCCCTCCCACAGTGACTCTAACAAAGGATTGCTGTCCGTCGTGCCACGCCTCCTTTTACTACGTCACAGTTTTCTAATAATAGACACCGCGTGGATGCCGTCTGCACTGGGCGTTGTCTGTTTTGTCCCCCGCTCGTTATACGTCGTCTGGTTTGTCCCCCGCTCGTTATACGTCGTCTGGTTTGTCCCCAGCTCGTTATACGTCGTCTGGTTTGTCCCCAGCTCGTTATACGTCGTCTGGTTTGTCCTCAGCTCGTTATACGTCGTCTGGTTTGTCCCCAGCTCGTTATACGTCGTCTGGTTTGTCCCCAGCTCGTTATACGTCGTCTGGTTTGTCCCCAGCTCGTTATACGTCGTCTGGTTTGTCCCCAGCTCGTTATACGTCGTCTGGTTTTTCCCCAGCTCGTTATACGTCGTCTGGTTTGTCCCCAGCTCGTTCTAGCAGGGGGAAAGAATGCAAGGATTTTATATTTCGACTTTGGTTTTTGTTGGGTTAGGTTTGATGGGCTCCCTTGGGTTTTGTCAGGGCTTATTATTAGTTTGGGTGTGTGACGGAGTGGTCGGAAGGTAAAGCTATACAAAAGTCTCAAGTTCGAATCCCGGGTCGTACCAGTCGAACGTCTTTGAGTCCACTCAGCTCGTATGGGTACCTGATACGGGGACAAATAAATGCAGCTGGGCATAGTGCTGACTGCACCATCCCTTCACATGCAAACATCACAGGAACGGGTGAAGTAGAGTTCACCTGTTACATTAACCGTCAGGTTCGAAGGTTACTTTAGGTAGGTTAAAAAAGTGATTTTATAACTTGACATTATATCCAACCCGACTCACATTATATCCAACCTGGTAACCCGACTCACATTATATCCAACCAGACTCACATTATATCCAACCCGGCAACCCGACTCACATTATATCCAACCCGACTCACATTATATCCAACCTGGCAACCCGACACATTATATCCAACATGGCAACCCGACTCACATTATATCCAACCTGGCAACCCGACACATTATATCCAACATGGCAACCCGACTCACATTATATCCAACCTGGCAACGCGACTCACATAATATCCAACCCGACTCATGTTATATCCAACCTGGCAACCTGACTCACATTATATCAAACCCGACTCACATTATATCCAACCCGGCAACCCGACTCACATTATATCCAACCTGGCAACCCGACTCACATTATATCCAACCCGGCAACCCGACTCACATTATATTTAACCCGACTCACATTATATCCAACCCGGCAACCCGACTCACATTATATCAAACCCGACTCACATTATATCCAACCCGGCAACCCGACTCACATTATATCCAACCTGGCAACCCGACTCACATTATATCCAACCCGGCAACCCGACTCACATTATATTTAACCCGACGCACATTATATCCAACCCGACTCACATTATATCCAACCCGACTCACATTATATCCAACCTGGCAACCTGACTCACATTATATCCAACCTGGCAACCTGACTCACATTATATCCAACCCGACTCACATTATATCCAACCTGGCAACCCGACTCACATTATATCCAACCTGGCAACCCGACTCACATTATATTTAACCCGACTCACATTATATCCAACCCGACTCACATTATATCCAACCTGGCAACCTGACTCACATTATATCCAACCCGACTCACATTATATCCAACCCGGCAACCCGACTCACATTATATCCAACCCGGCAACCCGACTCACATTATATCCAACCCGACTCACATTATATCCAACCTGGCAACCTGACTCACATTATATCCAACCCGACTCACATTATATCCAACCTGGCAACCCGACTCACATTATATCCAACCTGGCAACCCGACTCACATTATATCCAACCTGGCAACCCGACTCACATTATATCCAACCCGGCAACCCGACTCACATTATATCCAACCTGGCAACCCGACTCACATTATATCCAACCTGGCAACCCGACTCACATTATATTTAACCCGACTCACATTATATCCAACCCGACTCACATTATATCCAACCCGGCAACCCGAGTCACATTATATCCAACCCGACTCACATTATATCCAACCCGGCAACCCGACTCACATTATATCCAACCTGGCAACCCGACTCACATTATATCCAACCTGGCAACCCGACTCACATTATATTTAACCCGACTCACATTATATCCAACCCGACTCACATTATATCCAACCCGGCAACCCGAGTCACATTATATCCAACCCGACTCACATTATATCCAACCAGGCAACCCGCCTCAAATTGCTTTGAGCTAGTACTACTGAAAGAACTGTTGAGATAATTTAGGAATGTCGTTTTGCCAGTAGCACATTTTGTGTTTGAAACAATCTCCGACAGAGATTTAATCCGTCTTTAATCACCTCAATAGACACATCAAAGCGGGACAGAAAACAAAAAGTGCGAAACAAAAAGTGCGAAACAAAAATTGCGAAACAAAAAGTGCGAAACATTGTGTTCCTCCTACAGCATATATGTGTATGTGTGTGTGTGTGGTGGGGGGGGGCATGATTTATTAAATGTAGACACACGGCAGTATAGGTTTACAGGTCATTGGTTTACAGGTCATAGGTTTACAGGTCATAGGTTTACATGTTATAGGTTTACAGGTCATAGGTTTACAGGTCAAGCAGAGTTATTTAACCTGCAACATTCACTCAACACAGCTTTTGTATTGTTGATGGATATAGTTTAGGCAGTGGCGTAGCCAGGATCGTCTCATACACATACACATACACATACACATACACATACACATACATATACACATACACATACACATACACATACACATACACATACACATACACATACACATACACATACACATACACATACACATACACATACACATACACATACACATACACATACACATACACATACACATACACATACACATACACGTACACGTACACGTACACGTACACGTACACGTACACGTACACGTACACGTACACGTACACGTACACGTACACATACACATACACATACACATACACATACACATACACATACACATACACATACACATACACATACACATACACATACACATACACATACACATACACATACACATACACATACACATACACATACACGTACACGTACACGTACACGTACACGTACACGTACACGTACACGTACACGTACACGTACACGTACACATACACATACACATACACATACACATACACATACACATACACATACACATACACATACACATACACATACACATACACATACACGTACACGTACACGTACACGTACACGTACACGTACACGTACACGTACACGTACACATACACATACACATACACATACACATACACATACACATACACATACACATATACATATACATAATTATACATATACTCATTGTGGGCGAGATATAATCGTGCCATAAATAGTTTATATCTCACTAACACAAATACAAACACAAACGAAAACACAAACGCAAATACAAACCCAACAACAAATACAAACACAAAGAAAACACAAACGCAAACATAAACGCAAAGTGCTCACAGTCTAGCCCTGGGCGCCAAATTGCAACTTTCCGGGGCGCCGGCGGAACCGCCTCTTTCAGCTTAGTAAATGTCTATAGTAGCTTATTCATAGTCTTATGCATTCACTTAAACGAACGTAGGCGCCATAGCGAACACGGGAAGGCCCGGGGCGCCAAATAGCACCCTGTCGGGGCGCCGGAGAACTCCCAGATTTGATACACTTAAAGACTATAGTAACCTTTCTTATCCATAGTCTAAATTATGCGCTTCTTAACTGTTTTGATTTTTTAAAAGTAATTAGTAAACAATACGTTCAGTGTAAGAAATAAATAAAACAGAGTATTTAAAATACCTACCACATTGTACTTGATCAATCCACGCTAATTATGTAACTATTTTTTTCCAACACCAAAACAATGTAGGCTACCCCCGCCCCCTCTTTGTAATGGGTTTTATAAAGGGAAGTAATTGTGTTTTCCTAATTTATCAAGGGACGTCATAAGTGCTAAAGAACTAAATGTAAATAATTTTCAGACACAACTAGAATTTTTGTGAATGGTGATACATTAAAAAAAAATTAGTTTGATGAACATGCCGACAATAATCACTCTAAGTTTGATAAATGAAGATGGTTTTACAACACCTTCAATATTAATTTTCTAAATCATGAATTCAGACGATGAGCATTTGACACGAATAACCCTATAAACCTTTTTAAATTGCTATATTCCTTTGTAGTCACTGATTCGCTGTCCGCTACATACACACATACTTTATATATTAGATTTACTTTTTTTAAAATATATATTTATTTTCAAGGGCATAAAAAATACAATAAAATTGATTAAAATTTAATTACTTTGAAAAGTTACCTCCCTTGTACACTGACCGAATCACGTAGTCTTTGTTTACTTTTTTCACATAAAAAATTTTATGGTTATATAAGAAAAAAATTGCATCTGGTCAGATCTAACGGCCCGAGGGGGATTTACGACGGACAGAAAGTTTTGTTATCCCTAGGGTAGTTCTACGACGAACAGAAACTGACTTGCCTCTTGTAAACATCCTAACCTGAAGCCACATATCTGACGCCCCATACCTAACGCCCATACCTCCATATTGTAGCCCTCCCATCTCCCTCCATATTGTAGCCCCCCCCCACCTCCCTCCATATTGTAGCCCCCCCCCCCACCTCTCTCCATATTGTAGCCCATCCCCCAGAGATCCACTGTTCAAACTAAAACAAGCTGTCCCTTGTCCCCT